AGACATGATGTCTTCTGCAGTGGCAGCAGGGGAAACTCTTGTCAGCTTGCTTGATACATGAGACACAGTAAATTCGCAGACCTGAATGCCAAATATCAGTGATTAAACTGCACGCTTTAGCTCAATGCAAGAGATCTTGTATATTTTCCCCAACTGTTACGAGCTTTGGGAAACATGTATCAAAGAAAGTATAAAATGAAATTGTCTTTCTAGTGTCTATAGGATTCGGTGAGCATTATGTTTTCAAAGCACTGCCTGTCCTTTTGTAATGAGTACAGATTTAGTCTACCATAGCTTTACGTTAGAGTAGATTTCCCAGTGCTTACATTATATATATGTGTATTATGCATGCACACACATATATAGATACATACTTCATATTCAGGCTTTATTTCATTAAAATAAATTAAACATACTTCCATTTTAACTGGGCACAAAATGAGAGCTACATCTTCATACACAAATAAGAAATGCTCTTCAAGCATATTATATGCTTAATTTTAAATTATTTGCTTTCTATAAGAAATCTATAGGACTTTGGCTATTCTGACTTAAAAGGTAGATTTTCAATGATACTTTTGAATTTGGATTTCAAAAGTGATTCAATAAAATGCTACTTTAAAGGTAGGACTAAATAGATGATATAAGGTGTGTGTCGTGAGTGATCACACAAGGCAGACAGAGGGCCTTTGGTTACAAGGAGAGTTGCACCAGTTGATTAACAGTTAAAAAAATGATAGAATTGTTGATCTATACATTTTTGTCAGTGCCATCTATAAACCAAATACATCAATTGGGATGAGAGTGTGGTAAATACTACACTATATGGCTATATTTAAGTATGTTCACTTTCGTGATATGTAAAATACGACTTTTTTTTTCCACATGAAAGCATCAGCTCTAAAAATATTTAACTTGGAAATCACTATTAGTTGCTTTATCAAAAAAATTTTCCCTGATTTTTCTTCTTTTTACATTTGTGCTGATGGCAGACATGAATGATCACTGAAGCACAGAGATTATGTTAAGACTGTTCTCTAAAATTTCTCGTTGCCTCTCTATGGCCTCGGAAAGCCACAGACTAAATCAGTACTTAAAGCTTATCTTATGGAGAGTCACCTTCCTTTTTTGTAAATCTTAACTAGTATCTCAGCAATACAGCAGTTCCTCTAAGTACACTTGTATTTACTATGGCCAAATCCTAAAGATCTTCACGAGGCAAAGAGCCCGCTCAGAGGAACGGTGGTTTTGGCTGAATGAAGGCAGAGTAAAAGCTAACAAACCTCAGGAACTGGCCCTGCATAAATACTCTGGAGGGTATCATTTGCACACATAGATGCCTCAAACTTATTTTGAGTACCTCCCACGTCACTCTTTGCATGGCGTGAGGTTTCTTTCAGAATCAACGGGCTAGTTTCTGAGGTGGTGGCTCAGGTCTTACTCGCAACTTCCCCAGGGTCTTGCCTTGCTGGGATGCAAGGGCAACTTCTGAGCGGGTACCTCGGGCTGCATCCCACTGCCTGGGGATGGGGTTGGCTGAGCAGAGCAGAGTTAACTCCAATGCGTGTACAGTTTTTGCCAAGGAGAGACCTAACAAAACTATCATCGTAACCCAGAATAGTTCCTAAAACATATATGTGCTTATTGCTTTTGTCCGTACATGCTGCATTCACTATTATGGATTACAGACAGAAGTACTGTACAGCTTGGACGGACAGACATTTACATTCAGGACTAACCAACGGCTTTTTTTTTTTACAATAGGAAGGAACAAAACGCAGCGGACTCGAGCAGCTCGGGGTCTTCCTCCCACCTGTGCGCCTCCGCTCCCACGTCCCGTGTCTCAGAATGTCCCCAGACCTGCTGCATGCAGATCGTTACACACCCCTGGCAGGTACTCAGAAATAAGTCAGGTAACGCTCATTGACAGTTATTTACAATTGAGTTTTACAGTAGAAACAGAAAACAACATAAAAGATTACCATCACAGTTATCACAGGACAGGTTGTGACTTGCTACAGGTGTGTAACAAATCACGGTCACAACAGGAGGCACAAATTAAAATAGTGCTTGGTTAAAGTGCTTGATTGTTACACTCGCCTATCCTACTCCAGCATTGCAACAACAACAACGAAAAGTCAACGTAAAGTGCTTTCCCCCCCGAGATTAAAAACCCAAGACAAATTATTTCCTACACAATTTGACATAACTTTATTGAAACAATAATATTTTAAAAACCTAGGCTGGTGGCTGCTAGTTCTGTTCATTTAAAATGGTCAGACCTTTTTTTTTCTTTTTTTTTTCTTGTTTCGTTTAAAAATGACTGGATGTTATTAAAACATCAGGCCTGATGCTCCCGTCTCTCGCAGCTGCTTCGCATCGCAGCTTTGCAGGAGCCTCTCCTGCCCGACCTCCTCGCGAGAGAGAGCACAGCCAGGCCCGGGGTGGGTCGCTAACGAATCCCTCTTTTTTGCATATTTATGTAACGCTTGCATATCTTTCACTGCGCCGCTCAGACGCAAAAAGCTTCAGACCGACCGGTTCCTCTCCCACGCCAAGGGCGAGACTTTGGCTGATGCCTCAAGTCGGCGTGCAGGCGGGAAGGGGAGGCCTGGGGAGCCATCCCAGTTCCCCCGGCATGTACTGCAGGGGACAGCTGCAGCGTTAGTGCCGCCACCGCACTCGGCCATCCCCGCGGGGCAGGGCAGCGAGCGTCTCCCTTCCGTGGAGGGGTAGGGCGAGAGCTGAGCTCTCCTTCCAGCCCTATGCTCCCCGGCACCGGGAAGGAGGTCTGGCTGCGATGCCTCCGGAGAGTCCTGCTTCTGCATGGCTCCTTCACACATTCCCAACGTGGGCTGTGGGTCCCCTGAGGGCCATGTGCTGGCCCTGGGGCAGGTATCAATTTTTAGCAGAGGGTAAGTGCAAGTTTCACTATGTTCCAGGGGATGTTTGGAATTAGATACAAGTGGTGCAACTCACCCTGCTGATATTTCAAAAGAAAACATCAGGTCCTACAGGATATCATATTGTTAAAGACACACAGAGCATTTTAATAATTGGTTTCTCTAGACCGTTATTTGTTTTAAATGGTTTTCGCTTGGATTTTCCAATAATGCAAGTGTTCCCTGTTACCTTTAGACATAATATCCATCAGAGAAAGCTGTAGATGGGGAACAGCTGCCCTGAAGCAGTGAGCATTGTGGTTTTGAAACCTTCATACCAACCCCAGCAATTTATTCCAGAGTTCAAATCTGGCTGCCTTGGCATCCTTTATGGAACTAATGCAAATCAGATGTTACTATTTCCAAAAGGAGCTCTAGCGTTCAAGGGGAATGGATGGATATTTGGTCACATTGGCTTCACTGGACAACATGAAAGGAGATCAATGTGCGATCATGATTTGCAATCCTTATTTTTGACTGATGTGGGCAACGTCTTTAGAGTTGTTTCAGAGAAGGACATTTTCACAAACCCACACTGGACCTCCCCCAGACTTAGAAACAAGTGGCTTGTTTCAGCCAAGTTCATGCCATGCAGAAGCTCTTTTTTTGTGTTGACAGTAAAGACATTCCTTTAAACTTTCAGTAAGTTCTTTTGAAGCCCATCTCAGATGCTTTGATCATGTGTGTTAGCATGTCCTCCGCTGCCTGGTAATACATGGACTTCTGGGGAAATGTGATTTTCTAGTCTGACAGTCTCCTGATTGCCCTGGGTTCTTCCAGTGATACCTTCCATAGAGTAAATGCAGTTTTGCCCTATCAGCTTGGGGGAGGTGGGTAAAGCAGCAGCTTCTAGATGGTTCTTCTCTGTTCTATAAACATTGTCCTTTTGCTTTAGATAGCCACTGTTTCTAACATTGTACTTGGGACTCACATTTCCGGGCGGACTTGAATCATAAAGCAGCTGACCTTCATCATCAGTGTCAGCATCTATATATTTGTGTATACCAGCATCATGGAAGTTGAAAGCTATGGCTGTCTGCGTCTCTGGTGACTTTGGGGGTGTTCTTGCACTTGCGGTTGTGTAGATTGAGGTTTCTGGGCTCATGAGAGATCTGTCAGAGAGTAAGGAAGTATCTGTGGTGGCAGCAGCTCCCCGGCTCTTGAGAGGCTCTGGATATATTCTCAGTACATTTGATGCTGGTACTAATGTGCTGGTGTCCTCTTCCATGAAGTTGACTTTCAGAGATCTTAGTTTTAACGGGTTACTGGCCTTTATGGAGCTTTTGGGACTTTCTATGAAAAACGCAGAACGGTGGCTGCCTTCGGAGCTTGGGTTCATTTCCACAAATCTGGCACCACTCCCCTCTGGCCTGCTCTGCTCTTGAATCATGTTAATGCCACTTTTGCAGGGAAGGGTAGCCAGTGGGCTGTGGGAAAACTTGCCAGAGTCAGGGAACTCCGCTGCGCAGCTTATGAAGCTGTCGATGCTGGACATGCTCCTCATGTCAATGATCCCATCAGCACGAGTTGTCAGCAAGGGCACCATAGGGCCAGGAAGGGTTTCCATTTCTAGCTCTTCCTTTTGCTTTCCAGGCTGACTTGACTCTTTAGTATTAAGGTTTGGCTGGGACTGAGTCTTTGCCATTTTGTTATACATGTCCTCTAGCTGCTGGACGTTCAGGTGCTGGGGACTTGAAGATGACCTGGCTTTTTCTGGAGATCCTTGTTCCTTAGTTTCAAAAGATTTACTAGAGCTAGTTTCAGAGAGTGTTCTCTTGGTCCATTTCCATTTGCTGGGAGATAAATGATTATCCTGAACTTTATCCTTTTTGGCTATGCTTTCTCCGTTCTTTTCAACCACAATGTCCATGAGTTCTATACTACGGGCAAAAGCATCCTTCATGTTCATGGAGACAATACTGCCATTCCTTTTTGCTCTTTCAAGAGCTTCCCTGCGTTTAATGGCTTTCTCCTGCCTCTTCTGCTCTTTGTAGAACTCAGAGAAGTTATTGACAATAATTGGGATGGGAAGAGCAATCACCAGCACTCCAGCAATGCAACACAGTCCTCCTACTATTTTACCTAAAAGTGTTTTGGGGTAGATGTCTCCGTAGCCTACTGTTGTCATGGTGATTGTTGCCCACCAGAAGGAAGCTGGGATGCTCTTGAATTTTGTATCATCCTCATCCTTTTCTGCAAAAAACACTAAACTGGAAAAGATCATAATGCCCATGGCCAAAAACAAGATGAGTAATCCCAGCTCATTGTAACTCCTCCTCAGTGTAAACCCCAAGGACTGTAAACCCGTTGAGTGCCGGGCAAGCTTTAGAATCCGGAGTATCCTCATAATCCGAAATATCTGGACCACTCGTCGTACATTTTGAAACTGAAGTACACTTTTATTGGATTCTGTGAGGAAGATAGTCACATAGTATGGTAAGATAGCTAGCAAATCAATAGCATTCAACGGGCCTTTGAAAAACTTCCATTTCTTAGGCGAGGATAGGAACCGCAAGAGGTATTCCATTGTAAACCATGCAATGCACACTGCTTCCACGTGGGCAAGTTGCGGATTATCTGTGGTCTGCCCAAATTCATCCACGCCTTGTAGTTCAGGAAGTGTGTTAAGGGACAAGGCAATTGTAGATAGTACGATAAACATGATGGAAATGATTGCCAAAATCTGGAAAGGAAAGAGAAAACAGTGAGTTCATCTCAGAATATATTACGCTATCATTGCCATTAACGCAAGGCTGTTTTTCCACTTACATGTTTCAAGACTAATTTTGCTCTTAATACACCGAAGTCAGATAACCAATGCATCCTGAGGTGATTTTATTTTGGAAGCTGCTTTAGTTATGTCAGATGCATAAAGGAGAAAATGCATCTACTTCAGCTCCTGTGCCTTTATCTCTGTGCAGTCAAGGAACACGTACCAAGCAGCTAAGATGCCAGCACAGCTGTGAAGCAATTCACAGCAGGAGCTTTCAATTAACTACTAATTAGGTGCCCAACAAAACCCATCTGGACAACAGCCTCTGAAATCTAAGCAAGAAGGAATGCGATTGTGAATGCAAGATTCGATCAGAGCGATGTCCTCCATTTAATGCATGGTTACATCTGTAATTTTGAGTGCCTATGGCTATTTATCGAACACATATAAAATTATACATGTTCCTTTTCCGGGTTAAGTATAGGTGGCCCGTCCACCTTGGTCAAATCAGTAAGTTTAGATCCCTCATTAAGAGACGTGTGTACAGTCCTACTACATATAAGCGTACAAGTAACACACTCTTTTTTTAATTACTCATCTCTAATTTGAAACTTGATGGCTGTGAAATACATGAAAACTTTACCAAGCTTTCTAAAACATTTTGAGCTCTGAGCTACTCTGCATGCAACCAATTGGCCATCCTAGCTCCTCATCTCAACCAGGGGAAAGAGCAAACTCATCCAGGCAAACCAAACAGCTCAACATGGAGACAGTCAAGGCAGGGCAGGTCCAACCACTGGAGAGCTCATCTGCTATCAGAAACCAGCTCTTGGGCTAAAGAGTGCAGTGAGAGGAGAAGGGTCTGCAGCGAGCAGCCTCTCTAAAAACCCACATAAATGTGATCAGATCCTGGGCCACAGACTCTATGCAGATCCAGAAAGCATGAAGTGCTAGATTAGTGTATATGCAGCTTTCAAATGGTACCTGTTTTATATAGACATTAATGCTATACTTTGCAGTTATCCCTAATTTCATCTTATTTTAAAGTCATTTTAGGGAGGTTTTTAGATCTGACAGACAAGTTGAGGAGTGGGGGTTTTTTTCTACTAGTGAATTCTTTAGTTTGTTAATTGGGTGGCATTATACCTAGTTTCTTAGGTTACTGCCAAAATACAGCAATGATTTCAAAACACATGTATATGTGACTAATGTTTTATGTATGCATTTCAGTGTAAGCTGGTCCCTTATGCTCACTTCTCTCCTGCTTGATAGAAAAGCAGCATGAAGTCAATTACAATGTATGTGCATGATGACTAGATACACAAAATTAAGCAATGAATTATAAAATGTATGACAAGAATTCTGCATCATGAATTGCAAATCTGACACACTCCTTCCTTGCCCATATAACTAGATTTTAGGTTTCCTCACAGTGACCTTTCTCAGCCAGCCTCACAATACCAGACTATCCACAGTTACCACCTGAGGCCCTGGAGAAAGAAATTCTTGGAGGAATTCTCTTCAGTCAAGTCCAACACAGATATCCTAACAGTCATGAAATATCAGACTTCTGAACATTTATCCCTAAATGTACAGTCACTACAGTGGAACATGCCTTGCTGCTGTAGGAGAAACATGCAGATCCAATATGGTTCAGAAACACTGTGGTCTTCTCAAGAAGAGCTTCACCTCTTCTCCAAAGCTGAAAGGCAGAAATGGTCTACAAAGCCTGGAAGCTTCACTTGAATTAAATTCATATAGCAAGCTTAAGCTATGGCTTTAGGAGAAAAGTCCATATACCTTCAAAAAAATCCAAATTTAAGGCAAGCGTTTCAATTTTGAAATTTTGATTTCAACAAGTATTTTAAAATCCACTTCCTGTTAATAAAATCCCTTCCAAATCAATATAATACAATCATTTACCTTTTAACTCACTAAGATATACTATATAACTTTGATTTGTACATGACACTGCAGACCTAGTAATTTAATCTGAAGAATGAGATTTGACTAGAAACAAAAATTAGCTCCATTAAACACTCTGGTTTCATTGTCTAAATTGGATAAAATGGAAGAAGTGAATGGTCTAAATAGCCTCCTATGCAATGCTCCAGTACCAGGAATTTTAGAATAGCCTCATTTTCAGTTACTAAACTGTTGCCAGGAAAAATGCTGGGAAGATTCCTTTTCCTTTTTAAACAGGTTGTCTAAAAGAATGTGTGTTGTTAGCTGTGCTGTGCTGTGCACTCTCACAGTGCTAGCGAATGTTTTGCCACCTCCTCGCTACCTTCCTCTTCCATAAATTTGCTGCTGAAATACGAACAACCCCACAACAACTTGTGCAATGAAGGCTTTGCCTTGTTGAGAGACTTCAAAGGTCAATGAGCCAAAGAAGGTGTGGGAAAGGCTTAGGGGTGCAAAAAAGTAGGAAGAGCCATGGGATGAAGAGAAGCAGAGAGGGATGCTGGGAAAAGTGCTTGAACTGATGGTTTCAAACTCAAGAGAATATAATGTAAAAGTCAAGTGTCTCACGGTGAAGTGGGGAGAAATGTAGATGGTAATTACTTCTGCATGGTTGGTTGTTTCAAGACCATCTCCCGAAGACCAGGTGTCCTGGTTGCAGCTGAGATAAAGTTCATTTTCTTTCTAGTAGCTGGTATACTGCGGTGTTTTAGATTTATTATGAGAATAATGTTGATAAAACACTGATATTTTTAGTTGTTGCTAGGTAGTCATAATCTTTACACAAAGTCAAGGACTTTTCAGCTTCCCACACCCTGCCAGGTGCACAAGAAGCTGTGAGAATATGGCCAGGACATCTGACCCAGACTGGCCAAAGGGATATCCCCTACCATATAACATCATGCTCAGTAAATAAACTGGGGAAGCTGGCCAGGAGATGCAATCGCTGCTTGGAAACAGACTGGGCATTAGGGTTTTTTTCACAGGTGGTGAGCAATTGCATTTGTGCATCACTTGCTTTATATCATTTATCATCATCATCTTCATTATCCTATCAAACTGTCTTTATCTAAACCCACGAGGTTTTTTTCCATTGTCCTCTCCATCCCACTCAGGGGAGAGGAGTGAGTGAGCAGCTTTGTGGTGGTGTTACTGACTGGGGTTAAACCACGACAATCCTTATAGGCACCCAACACAGGGCATGACAGGTGGAGATAACAATAAATCTGATCAAAGTGTGTTAGAACAAATTATAAGCATTCATTTTATTAGGTAAATAGTCGCTGGTCACAATGTTGATTCATTCGCTCTCAAAGTTGTTGTGCTTGTTCTCAGGGTTGTGTTAAGTAACACCTTACTTGCAATATATGTTCCCTGTTGTGCTGTTTATCAATAATCTCAGCGAACTGGATCAAGGTTATCATTGTGGTGTACTTTGTGACACTGACTTATGATATGATAAACTTGTTGGTCGCGAGACTAATCTCAGCATTGCCATCATCTCCATACTTAGGGAGCCATCTGTCGGAAACTATTAATAATAACACTTCTTCTTTTCTCCTCAGAGAGCCAATCTATGGGGAAGACACCTTCCTTCCCCTTTCCCTTCCCCTCCAGGCTAATTAAAATAGCTTTTCAGAATGTCGAATATCCTTGGGATGTTCAAACCAGCATGTTCCTATTGCTATGTCTCCTGAATGTGATTCAGGTCTTGTTTATGGTTAAACAACTATTTAAGAATACGACCCAGAGATTAACCCCTGCAACAGGCACTGCAGCTACTCAAACCTCTGCGATACGCACTGTGGCTGAACCAGAGGACCAGCCTATGCTAGTATCAGTCGCCCCCTATACAGAAGAAGATATAAAAAAAAATCAGCTTTCTTAGTAAGGGATGACAATGAACCAGGGTCATCACGAGAACAGGAGGAAGAGGCAGAACCAGACGTAATCACCTGATCTCTATCCCTGAGTGAGCTGCAGAATATGCAAAAAGATTTCAGACATTTGTCCAGGCGAGCACATTGTCACCTGGCTGCTCCCAAGCTGGGATAACAAGGCCAGTAGCTTGGAATTAGAGGATCGGGAAGCCAAGCAGTTGGGATCTCTGTCTAGGGAAGGTGGCATTGACAAGGCATTTGGAAAAAAAACCCACAAGCTCTCAGCCTCTGGAGGTGACTTCTGTCAGGCATGAGGGAAAGGTATCCCTTCAAGGAAGATGTTGTATGTCATCCAGGCAAGTGGACCACCACGAAAGGAAGTATCCAGTATGTGAAGGAATTAGCCATGTCGGAGACGGTTTATTATGACCCGGACAACACGCAGTTACTAGATGGAAGCCTAGTGCACATGACCCATGTGGCGGAAGCTTGTACAGAGCACACCATTGTTGTATGCCAACTCATTGGGAGTGATAGACTGGGAAGACAAAGAGGGGCTAATGGTGGATGGATTGGCTAGCCGACTCCAGCAATATGTAAAAAGTCTCTCTCCCTCCCTTTTCTCGCTGTGGAGAAGCTGTCCCAGGAATTCCAGCAATTCAGAGAGGATATGTCCTACTCCCCACCTGTACAGACCGGTATCTCAGCTATTAGGAGTTAGCATTCCTCTGCTCAAGAGAGAGGATATAGAAAAGCAATCACAAATGGGGCTTCTTCGAGGAAAATTGCTGCTCCAGTCTCCAGTGGGCAGTTCTACAGACAGAACAGATCTCATGGAAGGAGTTTCTCATTCATATTTACAAGGAGTAACAAGGATAGGATTCAAACCCAGTGCAAACCTATTTGTCCGTAACGAATACAGGACTAGAGGGGCCCTGCCTCCAGTCAGGTGGAGGAAAGGGACAACTGAGTTTACTGGATTGTGTGGGTTTGATGGCCTGGCACATCAGAGCCCCAGGAGTATAAGGCTGTAGTAGACACCAGTGCACAGTGTACCCTAATGCCATCAAGCTATAAAAGGGCAGAACCCATATGTATTTCTGGAGTGACAGGAGGATCCCAACAGATAACTGTATTGGAGTT